GAGCAGTTTTCAGACACTGATCAGGTGTAGCTTTAATCACAGACAACATGTTTGGGTTTAAACGTCGGAGGAAGTTTTACAGTTCGTACAATAACTGGAGCTCACATTAGAAACGTGAGACTTTATGAGTACCGGGGTCTCTGATTGGACGATAAAGCATCCTTTCAAACTCAGTGACAAACTTAAATGAGGGATCTTTTTAGAGGTAAGCAGATTGTGCAGCAGCGCTCTCATCAGCCTGACTCAGTGTGTTACAGGAGGCCGGTCCAGGACATGTCAGTGTGAGCAGGAAGCCATCATTCCCACTGAAAGGTCTTCTGCTATTCACAGGTCTGTCCCAGATGAACGACCACGTCACCTGTCATCAGCCCTCAGACTCACTGATGAAGGAGGAGAAGCTCAGCAGTTTGAGCAGCTTTTACTGAGCGGTGTTTGTTCTTACTTTTTGTCATGACATTTAGCGACAGTCATTACAGCACAAGGCCCAATCAGGGCCCCGCTGTGAGACACAGACGACCACAGCAGCATCATGTGTTCCTGAACAGCAGGCAGAGGAAACAACATCATATCTTTATCACATATTTGACTCGAAGGCCAAAGGGACACTCAAAACAGGAGCAGCCTGAGCTTTAGGAACCTTCCAGCATGTTGTTGTGTGTCTGTAAATGTTTAAATCCATTCCCAACAATAAGATGTCTATAAAGCCTCAACGCTGACTCATGACCTCAGAATGTCTGCTGAGGGGAAGGTTCAAGGCTACACCAGTGTTTACTTTTCCATTCATCATGAGCAGAACTCATTGTTGTGTTTTGCTGCTCGTTCTGTCCTTGCTGCTGTTTGCTCTGGACATTCCTTCACATGAAGCAGTCGGACAGCATATCCAGAAAAAATGCCACGGAGAGGTTGGTGCCGTCCAACAGGTTTGGGTGCCTGACGAACCCAGACGCTCAGCTGACGAGTCCTGACGCTGGCAGCAGAGTGTTGACACCACTAGAGGGTGTCAGGTGTCTGAGGGAGGCGTGCAGGTGTAACGAGAAGCCCTCTTTGAAGCAAGCTGTGACATTTAACGGAGACAACACAAAACAGTGAGCTTTAAATGTCTCAAACGCCATTTATTTGACAGATGTGATGCGAAACAAAGTCCATTCTTATACAAATATAGAAATCATCTACGGCTATGTACAGCGACTATGAACAAAAATTAGTCAGAACTAGAAACCCTGAACTTGTTTTGGAAATCAGCCTGATGCAGTCCAAGCGTAGGACTGCTGTCAGCGCAGGGTTTAGTGCATTAAAGATTTACAGCTTATTAATCTTTATCCACACTCAGGCTTTCACAGTAATCACAGGCACAGTCAGAAAACAACCCAGCATGATGCAGGTCTGCTGACCCGTTCCTTCACAGTCCGACCTGCCTGTCAAAACAATGCTGCTTCTGGTTTTCCTTCATTTCTTCAAGCTTCGAGTGAAAAAGCTGGAATGTGCTTTGATTTTCCTTCACCGACAGTAAAACAACTAAACAAAGTGGCCGGATCTCCAGCGATCAGTCCTCCTGCTCCTTCAGGGTCTGAACGTGCTGCCGTTTCCTGAGGGGGGGCGTGTCGCCGGGCTATCTGGTCCCGGAGGTCCGCGGATCACCACGTTGGGTATGATGACGAAGGCCAGAATGCCCACCAGCATGAGCACCACGGTGACGGTGATGATGGACCCCACCACAGCGTAGTAGCACTGGTCCGAGCGGAACAACCTGCGCATGCGGCCCCTCACCCTGCTGGGCGGCCGGCCCACGTCCACCACAGTGGCCGGCGCTATTCCCTGCTCCATCGCGCTCAGGTTGAGGTCGCCGCCCGCCGTCGCCTGGGCCTCCGGGCTCTTCTTCGGCAGCGTGAGGAAGCTCGGCTTGGTCGGGCTGTTGGGAGGAGGGTTCTTCAGCATCAGCTTCCCCTTGCTGCGCTTGAAGCGGATGGACAGCGCCCTCTGCATGTCCGGCGGGAGCTTCCCTATGATGTCCTCGTTGTTGCCCAGGCGGGGCAGGTCCTGGCCGTGGGGTAGCTCGGTCAGCTCGCGGCACACGGGGCAGGACAGGGTTTTGAGCTCAGGCGACACCACGTTGATGCGAGCGAGGCACTCCAGACAGAAGGTGTGTCCGCACGCCAGCAGCTTGGGCGTCTTGAACACGTTGTCGTAGGAGCAGAAGCACACGGCGCACTCGGTGTCCTCCACATCGTCCTCGGGGGGCTTCGTCTTCCTGCGGTCGCTCTCAGCCTCTTTCCTGTCTCGTCTGCGGGCCTCCTCGCTCCTCCCACGCTGCCTCCTCTCTCCCTGGTGCCGGTCTCGTTCCCTCCTCCGTCCTCTTTCGGCCCTCTCCGAGTCGGTACTCCTCGACCTCCTCACCTTCGCCGGCTTCTCTTTCTTCCGGTGGTCCTCCTTGCTGTTCCTGCTGTTCTGGCTGAGTTTGGGTTTGACGTTGGGGGCCGGTCTGGCTCCTTGGCCAGAACGGCTTTGGTCATCCTCACTCATGTTGGAGGACGATGTCAGAGGCAGCGTGGCGGCTGGAGTTTGAGTCCCAGTGTCCCTGTGGAAAATTAAAGCCAGCATGAGTTTATTGGCTCCCAGAAACCAGTAGAGCAGGAAACAAGCTGCAGGAATTTACCTGCACCGCCTCCACTGCTGCTTCACAGTGATGAAGCAGTAATGTCTAATCTCTAGCTATCTAACACCTCTATTGTTTTCCTTTATGCAACAGCCATGTGCTGCTTGATAATGAGCTGCTGTATTTGTTTAGTAGGTTTTCCTGCACAGGTATCATCAGCCAACATGTGCTGGCAGCTCTGTGAGCAGGTTTTTAATCCCGCTGGCTCACAGAAACCTGTAAAGCAAAACTAAAATAAGGGCGAAGCTGGTTCGTTCCACAGCTCCGTTGTTTTTAATCATGTCGTCTGGTTTCAACCCAACGGAGGCTCACAGTTCACTTCCTTTAAAGTCACAAGAGCACATGTTTCTGTTCAATCTAAAGCCCAGAGCGGCAGACACCAAGAAGGACAAAGTAAATCAAAGACTGACCTGCTGAGGTAGATGAATGTGGGATCCCGTCGTCAGCGTTAACCGGTCAGATGCTCCTGCTGTGTATCAGCGACACATCACCAAACTGCATGGCTGTAAAACCTCAACGTTTGTCCCTCTTGCTGTGCTCTGCTCTTATCGTTCCTGCTTTATCTTGTTTTCTAATTGTAGACTCGGCACTGCCTCCTCTGAACCCTCCTCCTCCTCCTCCTCGCTGCCTCTCGCCCTCCCGTTTCTCGTCAGACCAGTTGAACCAGCTGCACGGATCCAGAGCTGTTTTTTTTCTTCTTTCTGTGTCAGTGTGTGGAATATGTAGATCATCGGGCCATTTACTGAGACAGCTCTCATCTGCCCACTCCCACAGACAGAGCCGGCACCGTGGTGTCACTGGCAGCTCAACCTTCTCATTAATCAGAACCACACATCCTCGATCATGTGGAGTTTAACTGAGCTCATCAGACCTGAAACCGGTGGCACGAAGGCTCACGCAGTAGAAGCACACCAACACTTTCTGTGAGCTTGATCCAAATCCGGATGAACAACCGTTACTGTGGGGAACATTCCAGCTGCTGCTTTAGCAGGACCAGGACGGTTCTGTCAGCGCTGCACACATCACACCTCATACCTGTCATACCTGCACTGCCGTCTCGTCTCTGTGGGCTGAGCTTAAGCTGGCCTCCCTCTGCACCTGCACAGACATTAACTGGTGAATCCACGTCGAGGCCAGAACTGATTTAAATATGTGACATTAAATATTAATGTCAGACCTGTTTTGTTTGTTTGGTCTTGAAACGTTAGCGGTGTCATGCTTTAAATAACCGGCGTGTCCCTCCACCAAACATCTCCGTGGACGCTTTTACAGAAACCCAATCCATGTGTGTTCAGGTGCTTCTGCTTTCCCAGTAGATCCTGACAGGACAGACGGTTGTAGTCGTGACTGTAGGCAACGCTTCAAACATGGATGAGAAGAGATCTAAACAACCAGCGGAGTTGAAGGTGGGAACCCAAGATCTGAGTCAGCACAGCAGAACCAGACCAAAAGTCATGATCACATGGTGAACTGGTCACTCCTCCTGCTCCAGAGGGACGCGTTGACAAGCTGCCAGGAGGCTGATGTGCTGGATGCTTGATGTGATGTGACCTGCTACACACTGATGGGAAATGTAGTCGTGATCAGTGAATGACTTGTTCAGGCGGCTGCTGGGATATTCTCTCGTCCAATCAGATGCTCATTAATCAGACAATCTCTGGTGCTACGTTAATGAGGAAAAACCCTTTTCAGGACTTTTCCACAGCTCGAGGAGGAGACTACCTGTGAACATCTGTGTTTTTCACAACTTTAAAACCGGCCCAACCTGATGCATCCTGCTGGCTTCACTTAACGTTTACTATGAGTCGGCTTCAAGCTAACGGACAGCATGTCCGAGGAACCTCTGCAAGCAGCAGTCTGTGGATCACAGCTCAGCAGCCAGAGGCAGATCATCTAAAACAGCAGCGAACTGGTCCCAGTTGAACGCCTCAGTCATTAAATAAACTAGTTGGTGTGGTTCTGCTTTCAGAAGTCAGCTCCCACTCCGCTTTGGAACAGCATGTCATAATCAGGTTCAGATGATTTCCTGCCAATACTGGCTCTTTATGTCCATCTAGAATAAAGGCAGAACCACTCGGTGCTCTGCGGATCACTCAGTTGATCTACAGCTGACGAGCAGACTTTTGTTTCCTCTGTGAACTGCTGCCAGAGGAGCTCCAGCTTCAGTCCAACACGTCACAGCTCTAGAAGGCCTCAGTGACCGTTGACCACCACATTTTAATCAGCTGAGTTTTTAGTGACCATTTCTGCTAAACTTGAGGAAATGCTCTCAAGGCGTTCCACGAGAGTGACAGGAACGGAGTGGAAACATGAAGCCTCGGCCCACAGCTGGCACGGAGGCACAAACTCCTGCTGCAGTAGGCAGCCTTAGTGAGCCAGAGCCCGGTTTGTCTGGACTCACATGCTGAAGATGAACCCTCTTCCAAACTGGAGCGACACATCGATCAAACCACTGACAGCTGAAGAGCACTGGCCATCTTGGCACAGGGTTTAGGGTGCAGTGTTCTCAGGAGAAAACTGGGCTTCCTCATATTCACACAAACATGTTTCCAGTGAATCATGCATCACACCAAACTGCTCCCAACCTCATTGTGCTTCTGCAGGATCAACCAGAACAAGCTGGATCCATGAAGGCTTCAGCCTGCAACCCACAGGACATCCCCAGATGCCCTGATGTGCCGCAGCTGTTCTGGCAGCAAAAAGGGGGCGACACAACACCCGACAGGTGATTTATGTTGTGGTAGATCAGCTTACGTTAACGCTAAAAGATCTCTACAGCAGACTCCCAGCGTCACTTCACCACGGTGACGAAAAGGTCACAGGAGGTCGTCCGGATAAGGCGTCTTCATCCAACTTGTTTTACAACAGTGAACTTCCTCATGCACATTAAACCAGGAAAAAAATATCTGGAAGACGGTAAACAAAGATATGACGGCTACTTCTGAAGCCGTAAATTATCCGACAAAAACAGGTGGTTGTAAAACTTTATTGGCCTGAAAAATGAAAACAACGATAAGGAGCCGCACGTGTGGGAGAAACTCGTTACCTGGAAATAAGTCTGGTCAGCGTGCTGCTGGCACAAACCACAGTTTGACAGAGTCCCACTGTTCAGGTCAACATTCAGCCAAGAAAAACGCACAGACAGTCATATTTACGGGCCGACACGCCCTCCTGGTGAGTCAGCAGCGCTCTGTGGATGAGGGAGGCTCGGATCGCTCATGTCCCTTGTTGTGGCAGACGCAGCTGGTTTATGATTAAACCTAGCCCACTTTTCCCTAAACCCATCTTTGTTCCATGAGTGCATCAACCTCAGCACACCTCTTGTGTTTATTTGAATAATGTGGTCCAAATCTACTCCCGCCGTAGCCACGAGTCCTACACCACTCTGCAGCTTGGACCCATGTGCAGACACACTTATAGTTCTTGTATTTGCCCCATGTTGCCCTGAGAGAGGAGTGCCTGTGTGTCCCTGCACCTCTTATCCTGAGCTGTGATCGTCCCTTCAGCCCAGCTCCTCTTTGGTCTTGCCCTGCTTGCGGGGCATCTTCTTGCTGCTGCTGTCCTCCAGCTCTTTGCTCTTGTAGTAGTGAGGAGCCACTTCCAGCAGCCAGCCGCTCTCTATCTCGATCACCTGCGTGGGGGGGAGAGGGCATGATCAGTGGGTGGAGGTGGTTAAACACTGGAATACTCCACACGGCCTCGCTGGAAGGTGTGACTGTTATTTACACTTTAAACAAGAGCGTATTCAGTGATTGCCCTGCACATGAGCCTGCAACGGCTACTTATCAACCCCAACACGGTAAATATTTGAGGGAGACTCAGAGGCCTATTAAAAGCACACAGTGACACATGCTGAGCAGGCAGACCTGTCTCATGAACTCCTTGGTGGTGAAGACCAGCTCGTGGTAGATGAGCCAGCGGGGCTGCTCCTCGAACAGGGAGCTGTTGGGGTGGACGTACACCGTCTGCTGGTGCTTCACCGTCTTGTAGCCGCCTTTGCTCAGTCGCGCTGTGTGATAGAAATATCCTGCCGTCACCGCCTGGGGAGGTGGAGGGGAGACGGGTTACAAAGAGCTGACTCACTGCTACACGGGTAGAAACCAGCAGGATCAGGGTATCAACACACGGCTGGTACAGCATCAACACAGCACAGAGAGAATGTCAGAGCAGAAAACTTCATACGAGAGCTACACCTAGCGAGAGGTGATGGAAATCCAACAGAAGCTGGGCTCTGCTGCTTTTCAAAGATGGCACACAGCTGGTTGGTTCTCGGTGCTGCAGAGATGCTTCTGTGGACGCGGTTTATTTCTAATGACTTGATAATAATGCTCAGTTACATCATGTAAAACATGCAGACGTCAGTGGGTGCATTTGCGGCTGACAACAGAAGAGGAAGAGAGCAGCTGCTGGTTCAGACAGTCCCAACCACCAACTGTTCACACCTACAGACAGCCTGAATGGATAAATCAGATATACAAACTTAACAAATGGAGTTAGAAACAAGTGAATTGTAATATTTTCCATCAAGCAGCGAAAGCTTTATTATGAACAGACAAATAACCATGATACCACGTTCTGCCTTCTGTCCAGGCCCACCACACAAAGGCATCAAACTTTAATTCCATCCATCCCTCAACGCTTTCTGGTTGCTTCTGGGGGATCCTGAGGTGTTCCTGGATGACACAGGAAATGTCTCCAGTGGGTTCTGGGTCTACCCTGGAGCCCAAAACACCTCCAAGACCCAGAAGACACCCTAACCAGATACCTGAACCCCTCAGCTGGCTCCTTTAAGGACAACAGAGCAGCGACTTTGCTTCAAGCTCCTCATCGTGCCTCCAAAGCTGAGCTCAGCATCTTTACAGAGGAAAGTTGTTTCAGCTGCTTGGACTCATGATCCAACCCTTTGCTCACCATCCAGAGCTCATGACCATCAGGGGTACGTTTTGTGCTTTCTGGCCCAGCTCCCTCTTCACCAGGACCGTCTGGTGCAACACCCACATCACGTCCCTCCGTCCACCTCGCGCTCTGCTTCCTGTCACTCATCAACACCATCCCCACATATCTGAATTCTGTGACGCGATCCACTGGTTTCTGAATAATAATATTTAGAGTCTTTCAGAGTTTAGCTGTTTCATGGAAAACAATATCTATGAAATCTTTATCATTTTATCAGTGTAGAAATGCTGCTTCACTCAAACAAGCTCCAACAGGCTCAACAGTCTGAGAGAACAAGATGTCCAGCTACAAGAAGGCATCCGAACGTCGGGGACGTCAACACTGCAGCTCCAGTACCAGCATCGGGGATGACACAGATTAAAGCCGGCTGATGGATGTGGGCACACCTGAGCTGACCGAAGTGTGTGTGAGAACGGCAACAACAAGAATGCGGCAAAAAACAGGATCAAAAGTATTTGCAAAACTAAACTGTGAAGCAAAATAAAATGAATGCAAAATGCTAGAAGACAGACAGGAAACTGAGAAACTAAAGCAGATTACAAACAGTGAAGCGTCCAGACACTGAGAGGCGGCACCTCGTGCTCGTTCTCCAGCAGGTCAGCGGAGGAGCTTTGTTTCTGTGATTACACAACAGAAACTATCCAAATCCTCCTCCTGCTCCTCCTCTTCTGTCCACAGATGCTAACAAACTGTTCACACCTGCTGAAGGTGACGGGTGTGTTCCTAAAACTAAAGCTCAGAGCTGACTGAGGACATCGGGTCAGAGGGCCAAACATGAAGCTCTGTCCTCCTAAACACAACAAATATCTGAAACTGACCAACTCCTCCTGTTCTGGCTGTAAGCAGGCGTCACCGTGTTCCTGTTTCAAACACACACACAGCGCTGCCACAGCCCATTAATGAATACAGCGCTACATGTTCACGTCACAATCACCAAACATGTCGGCTTTAGTTTCTGCCTGTTGGTCTGCAGGAAGCTTGACAGAAGAAAAGGCAGTTAGTGGTTAGAAAAGGCGTAACTGCTGAAACAAGGAACGCCCTCTGCTTATCTCCGGCTGCTCGCACAACACAGGAACACCAGCTCTGGGCTGGTCCTGATAAACTCCCTCTGAGCAGTAAAGCAGTACAAGACTCGGATGAAACTTGAAGAATAAATCAGGAACTATGTTGACCGTTACCTGTAAGCAG